GAAGCAGATGCACGCTCTAAACGTACCTCCTCCTCTGGATGATGATGCCCCTCCTGTAGGTAGCGACCCTCCTCAAGAGAGATACCCTCCTCCTCAAGAAAGATACCCTCCTCCTCAAGAGAGATACCCTCCTCCTCAAGAGAGACACCTACCACCTCCTCCTCAAGAGAAACACCTACCTCCTCCCCCATCCTCAAGAGAAACACCTACCTCCTCCTCCTCCTCAAGAGAGACACCTACATTCTCCTCAAGAGAGACACCTACCTCCTCCTCAAGAGAAACACCCTCCTCGCCAAGAGGACCAGCAGCAAGAACGGTTCAGGCTCCTGATTCCCTCGAATGCGCTCGTTGTGGGACCCAGTGGCTGTGGAAAGTCTGTGTTTACCTCTCATGTGCTCCGACATGGCCTGATCCAACCCCGACCTACCCGCATTGTTTGGTGTTATACTCAATGGCAGCCCTCATATCAGGACATTAGCGAGCAACTGCCTCAGGTGACCTTTGTCAAAGGAATTCCTTACGATATCTTTGACGAGGATTACTTTGATGCTGGCCAACGGAACGTATTAGTGTTGGACGATTTCCTGGCTGAAGCAAAGAACGACAAACGTATTTCACGGCTGTTTACTCAAATCCCCCATCACAAGAATGTATGGATCTTTCTCTTGGTACAAAATCTGTTTCCGAGAGGTAAAGAATCGAGAGACATTGCTTTGAACGCATTATGTCAGCTTGTTTCATTCCCCATGAGATAAACAGCAAATCAAACTTTGCCCGTAGAATTTTCCCGAACATATGGATCACTTTATGACTATGTATGAAAAGGCTGCTGAAACACCCTATGGACAACTCACCATTGATCTAAAACCTACCACCAAAGATAAGGATCGACTGCAGGTCAATCTCATAAAAGAGGAAAATGGGCGAGTCAAAGCTCAGTGTGAACTGGATCTGCCTAAGGAAAAGTTGACTACAACAGAATCTCTTGATAGTCCTCTGACTGAAGAAGAGAGACTGCCCCAACATCAGCTCACTCAAATTGAAACCGATTCAGACGGTAGTGAGACATCGCTGACTATGGCCACGGCTAGCAGATTATTGCGAGTGCTGATAGATAGCGTGCACGATCTTCAGCGACATATTAAACATTGGTGTCCGGCCAATAGCCTTCAACCTAAGAGAAAGCGCGCCAGACTTGAGAGTTATGATAATGACAGTGACTATGACGACCTAGCCTCTTGCCAGAAAGGCAGTGGTCTTGCCGTCAAACCTCCTCGTGGGAAGCCAACATTCACTGATATGGAAGCCGAGGAGGGGCAAAATGTAGGCTTACAACGCATCTGGAAGCAGGTGTACGACATGTTTCAAGACAAGATGAAACTGCAGAGAAAACAGTACAAGCGACAGGGACGAACGCAAGAATGGATTGAGAGAAGATTGAAACAGAGGTGGGAAGATCTACTGCGTAATACTCTCATCTTTGCGGTGGAATATACCAAGTACTTTAAACAGGCACCTCTGTTTAAAAACATGCTACACAACCTGGGAGATATGAATCCTTCCACGGAGCAATCTGTTCTCAAAAATAAAATCAAAATCCTCCTGAAACCCAAGATGAAAGAGATCCTGCCTTTGATAGATATGCGGGAAATAGAAAGTGAGACTGAATCTGATAGCGTTGCAGAAGATAACGATGGTGATGACGTGGAGGAGAATGTTTGAGGAAATTAATACCGGTCATTAGTTTATCAGTCTAACAGTCAGAAGAGAATGCCGAGTCAACGCCGCACGTCTAGTTTGATTTATATTTTGAAAACACCTCATACACTGAGGCGCTTGAACGATGAGAAACGCCGAATTTTCCTCTACGTGAGAGGAGTTGTGAAACTAGGCACCCCTGGACGGACATCGTTAAAGGCAGTGGATAAAACATAGACTATTGATAACCATTCAACCTTAAAACAGCATAGGAAAGGTGAACTGAATATTCAACAGTGCGAAATGTGTTTCAAAACACGGACTTGCCATTTAAACAATTGCGCCTTGAAGCAGCAGCCTGTGTCTAGAGTGACTGAACTGTTGACTTTAATGTTCCAGAGTGAATCCTATTGTCCATTCGTATATCACAGCTTTGTATAGAACCGATTGACTTGAATCAATAAATGATATGAATGGAATTGCATGTTTTGTCGGTTGGTTTTTTTTGCATACTTAGAATATAATCCTTATATACCTCGATGATAATATATGTGTAGTCCCTAGACAGACATCGATACACACTTCACAGATCTACGAACCTCCCATCCATACCAATACAGCTAAAAAGTAATGCCATCATTTAAATTGTGAGTTTGAACGCGTATTTTTATATGGATTTACCTTTACAAGGATGAATGCATTCCGCACAAACGCAACACCCTCCTGTTATCAACGTGTAACTGTTTACAGTTGGATGGTCTGAAAATACCCAGAGTTATGTTGACCATAGACATGTGTGCGGGCGAGTTCATTCATCAGAAATCTGTTACTTACGATGTGTTTATAAATACGAACTGCTAGCCACACTCATAGTAATGTTTCATGCCGTGGTTAGAACCGTAATGGATCTATTGAAAGGTGTCATACATTCATGTTCAGATATATGCATAACATCTACACGCACATACATTCCTACATGACCGCAATTTCATTCAAATGTATTAAATATACCGATTACATTTAACACACACACACCGCAACGACGCAACGAGACTGTTTCAGCAACCTTCCTCTGACGTGTAAACCGGAAGTGGTTCGCTAGCAGACGACAGTCTTAAAGCAGACGGACTTTTGCCTATCCAACCCAACGAACACCATCGTCGCTCCATTCACACCTTTCAATTCAATACCTTCCTTTGTCCCCTTTGTTACCACATCTTTAGGGAGTCTTCTTCGGTCCACTGCACATTCAAGTACCTCACTCCATTGTACACTCGCTCACGCTTCATCGATTTCTATTGAAATTGGGAGGTAACTTGTATTGTTGTCATGATTTCCTACATTTTCCTCTACTGACGTGGGGTCTGAGAGCTTGGTCGATGTAGCACACCACTGTGATGCCTCCTCTCTCTGGACCAAGGTTCTGGAACGCCACATGAGCCACTCTCTGGTTCAGGCCTATTCCACACCATACCATGATGCTTGCACCTCCCCATGAGCCTCTTTCCATAACACACTGGTCTGAGTAACGCTGACCACGTCGTCGCCATATTTTTGTTCTGCCATCTGCAGTTGATACGCAGTACCGACTCTCGTGTGTGAACAGAACAGTTCGATCATTTGTAGTGTTGGTGGCTCGGAGACGTTGCTGCGGCCTGTAGATGGTCCAAACGTTGACCTGGTAGTGATTGGCAATGGCTTGTGCAGTGTGGCCAGCTTCAAGTCTTCCTAGCGCATGGTTCTTCTGAGCTGCCGTGAGTCGCGGCATCCTGCTGACGTTGTAATGTGAATGTTTCCAATAGGTTTGTGGGTGCATTTAATAGGGCTGGTCCTTGTGAACAGCACGTGCAGCATGAGTTGCATGCAAAACATGGAGAACACCGTACCATCTCCGAGATCAGGTTGCGTTTTTGAGACCATTTCCTGGGTTCCATTCTGAGTTTGGGAAGGAACGTCTTTGCTCAGGTAAAGTTGGAGATGTTGTCAAAAACATTAAATGGGGTTACAGTTATCCGTTTCTGCGAAGGAAAATTCCCAACTGGCGTTTCTTTTGCGGCTTAGTATATGATCTCGAGACAGAGAAGAATAGAAGGCCTCTTTCGGGGGCAAACTGATCTCCATTAATCTATTATGTGAATCAAAGTATTCGTAGGGGTACACCTGTTTTCCCACATGCGGTGGCAAATGATTGAGGTAAAGGTACTGCCTCATATGGTGGAACTTTGATGGTGCTTTTTTAGCGAGGTTGCTGACTAACTTTTCCAAACTCGAACTCATAAATTGGAAGCTATCAATGAAGTTAATACAACCTAGAGATATACAATTCATTTTCTTGCGTTTAATTTCCCTGTGGCCTGCATGATTAGATGACCGTCAAAGCCCCTGAAGTTGTGAAAGACCACTGGAATCCTTCCCGTGAAGTTGAAATTAATGTTACAAGTACTATGGGCTGCCCCTCGAAATTGCCCTGTCATGTGACAGTGGTCATTCACACGGAACGTGTGTTGTACAACAAACGTGCTTTATGAGCTTTCCAGTAGAACAGGACTTAGGATCATTAGACCAGCCTGATATAGGAAAGGGAGGAGAGTTAATGTTCTCTTTGAAGATTTTGCAAAGGCGTTCGATTCGGTTTGTACAGATAAATTATGGAATATTTCACTTAGACATGGTATAAGTTGTAAAATGAAAATAAAAAATATATTACTTAGCATATATGATAATATAAAGATATGTGTCAGAAATAGTAATGATTTGTCAGACACTTTTACCAGTCAACTTGGTGTCAGACAAGAATGCATCCTGAGCCATATTTTCTTTTCCGTTCTAATTAATGAATTCACTATTTGCGGTCGACATCATATTCTTCTATAGTAGAATAGGTGGTTTACAGTCATGGATAAATGAATTAGAAAATTATTGCAATGATTATAAATTGACTGAAAAAAAGTTGTTTTCAAAAATGAAGCAAAATTGGCAAAAGGTGAAAAATGATATTACAAAGGCGATGTGATTGAAACAAGTAATTCATATACAAGTAAATATGTAGGTGTTAATTTTACAAACCATCTTTCATGGTCCATGCATACAACTCAAGCCTCATTGCAAGCTACAAAGATTTTAATAGGCATTATGAAATATATAAAAGCACTTGGTGACTTATCATCCAACTCCTTTTACAGATTATTTATGCTTAAATATGCCCAATACCTTTGTATGAGATCTGGGGAATCAAAGATTTCGATGCCATAGAAAACATTCATTTATATGCATTCGTGACCAACTCACCGAGACAAGCCGAAAAAAGACGAGTGGTGACGAATGTACGGAAAGGGGCGAAGCTGACGTCATGCGCCCAGAGCTCAATTTTCATTCGTCTCGGATTGGGAAGACTGAGCTGGTCACGATGGCTGATAAGGGTAGGTTGAAACGATGTAATCTGGTTATGTCCATCTCAGTGAATATATGTAACTAAAAGAACCAACATGTATGGATTAATACTGTGTGTACTCAAAAGAGTATTTAAGAAATTGATTTAATACGCTCCGTAAAAGCCTGGCTTTGTATCGTATTCAAGCTACACAACTAACAATGCATGTATTATGCATTAGGCAGGGCCAGATCACTAACGAAACAACGAGTTCACGAGCCTACGCAACAGATGTTTCAAGCGCCATACTATGGAATACTGTAAAAGCCTACGCAACAGATGTTTCAAGCGCCATACTATGGAATACTGTAAAAGGGCAATTTTTGTCTTAGCAATGTTTCATGTTACCCACACCAAAATAAGAAATCGGTGCGATTCTTATTTATTACAGAAAACTGACAAAAGAAACGCTCTGCCATTACGGCAGTTGCGAATCTTTTCCGGGTATTCGTGAATTCTCTTGGGGTTCCTACACACGTGGTTTAAGCTGCTGATCACTCCTGTATCGAAATTCAGTTATATTCAGAAGCTAAATCATACTACGGGGTCGTGCTTCTTGTTATTGATGAATTAGGTGAAAATCGCTATACGTGAATCTAATGTACTATTTTGATATATTGACGTGTCAATAACATGCGACTGTAACTTGTAAATTACAATTATCAAGACAAAAATTATCAAGACAAAATAATCCATTTTTCAAAGAACGTTAACTGTTTGTTCGGTCATTATGAGACATTTAAAACTCCTTACATCATCAGTCACTGAAAGTACAGTGAGTGTATCCTCATATATCTGTCATTCTGTCAAAGAAACAAAATAGTGTCTACTCCAGCCTCATTGATTCCACCTCTGGCAAGAGTAACAGGGCATTGTCAATTATCATAAAAGCCCAATCTCTGTTGTTGTGGTGAATTACGCAGTGGCAAGGCATGACCACGCCTCCTCCTTTCTCTGCGGGTGCAGGCCAAGGGGGAAACTTGGAACAGGTTCTCCAGCTGGCCCAGTAAACACACTGCCACTCATTTGCCCGAATGACCCTGCAAGACCTCTTTGCACATGACCAATGGGTAGACCAGCTACATCTTTAAGTACGAGATATCGCTTCACATCTGTAACCAAATTATGCATGTCTATATGAAAACTTTCAATTGAGGGTATCTAAACCAGACAAGCATTTCGGTCATGACTATTTGTATATTCCCTGTCCCCTGCGATGCAAGTCACCAGGTCTGCTGATGGGGGTCTAATTTTAAATTCATGATAGCTCTTGACCACAGTGTTTTCAAGTCTGATGGGCTGCCTTGAAGGGTGCATGACAAGATGATGGTTCGTCAGTCTTGTCTTGCTGGTTATGATGATGACCCCACAGGAGTAACCTGGATACAAAGGAAGAGTGCTTGACTAACATCAAAGAACGGAAATATTTATGTGTTTAGGCATATTTATCTTACCATGGCAAACCGATTAACGACAACTCATATTAAATTCTTAGTGAAATGACTAAAAAATTGATTTATGTTTAAATGCATTGTCATGAGAAGTTGAGATACGTTTCAAACATGCAGTCTTTGGGTGATGTATTACTTGTAAAACTTACTTTGACAATATATAATGTCGACATGTACATTTATGGAATATGTTTGAATGTCAAGGTAAAAAGTACTCATCAACAAATCTTTGTAAATAATAAAAGACACACTTGTAGTCAGAACAACATAATACACTATACGTTTCTGTTAGAAATAAATATTAGTGAGAAACTATGTGATGTTTTTCTTAGTGAAGGATCTATGCTTTCAGTGTAATATGCCTAGTATGATTCTCACACGAAGGACACATGAATTGATCATCAGCTTAAACATTGGGATGAGTTGAGCAGCGCGAATGTATCCATCCCTTACAAGAAGAACCACATTCCACCCAAACGTGACCTCATTCAAGATCCTGATCCTCAATCCACGACATGTGACAACCCATAAAGATGACATCTCCTCCTTTGCTTCACTCACAGCTGAAGTAGCCACTGGTTTCACTCTGACTGAAGCCTTCTTCTATCCAACTGACTTTCCCACGGCAGGAGCAGCTCCTTGCAGCATAAACATACCCTTTGCCATTTTCTCTTGTTCGGCAAACTGTCAAATTTTCTGAAGAATCTGGAAACGCATGGCCTTGATGCGTTCATCTGACGTTACATTGTGAGGCATATTATCAAAAACATGGGTTCTCATACGCAGAGAAATCTGCTTGGTGTGTGTCAGTACAAGAGATTCTTGCAGAATTTGTGATACTGACAACGTACCAACATCAAAGAACGATTCTTCATCATCATCCTCAGTCATATCGAACGATGTAGCGGCACGAGCAAGGAGTTCCAGTCCAGATATGTCCGCAGTGGTTGAGGTCGCATCGCATCGGATACCGGTAGTCTTCTATGCATGACTTGTCATAAAAGTTTCTTGTAAGTGTCAACACATGGAGACAACCCAACTACATCATATTCCTCCTGGATACGTTTCTGGTATCTTGAGGCCATCGCAGCACCTGTGTTCTCATCCGATGCTTTGGGTGTTTGGGCTACAGTGGTCGCGTTGGAGCTAGGTCCTTGATGGTTCTCACAGACTGCAAATTTGAGTCCGGGTTTCACATGATCCAAGGAGATGACAGAGCTGTCAACCGGGAAGATGACAGAAGATCGGAAACTGTTAATGGCAGTGAGGACATTATGGATTAAGAGAAAAGCCTCCTGCAATTTCTCAGTAAATGTTTCTTTCAATGGGCATATCTGAGTGCCCTCGACTGTGTGCCCCTGGTCAGTTGATGATGTATCTGGCGATGAGAAAGTCTCTGCAGTCATTACACTATCTATCGGTTTTATTTTAGATATTTTAGCCCAACTAACTCTTCAAGGGGTACCTCATTTTCTGGGATGAACACTATGTGAATTCCTTTCAAGGAATAGCAGGGTGATTGCAGTCATACGCAGTATGCGAAATAGCCACTGGCCCGATATCCCATGGCTCGTAAACATCCAGTCGATCAGGTAAATCTCCACAGTCACTCGCCCTGACTGGCTATTGAATTTTCATGAGGTCATTTTGTATATATATCACTCTCTACGACTTGTTAATCTATAATACACTTTTAAATCATCCAATATTATGGCCTGATAACAATGTTCATCATATAAGCAGCTTAATTATGAAACACGCGTCATGCCGACAATATCTTATTCACATCCATTTTTTCAATCTTTTGCTTAGTTTCTACACTCAAATTTCAGGCTAGTGAATTATTTTGTGGGCTAGTAACTTTCAGGCAAAGCCAGCCTGACTGGCTAGCAAAATTTGGAAACTATTTCGCACACTGGTCATACCCCGGTCTGTTATCTTTAAATGGCGTTAGCGTATTTTCCTTTATGACTATGTACAAAATCTAAAATCTCGCATGGGTTCAAGCCCATCCCCTGAGAAGTCATTTCCTATAATTTGCCTCACTTGAGTTGAAGAAAGGCATAGGGCCATTTTTCTTTATTTCTACATCTCCAGACAACCTACTTTGCAGAAAACCATATGATAGTGGGTTATACATTTCCGCCGCCTTTCTGGTGGATAACTTTTAGTTTTTACGGCTCACAAGGCTCACCCTCTGATGTCTAGGAGTTGTTGGGGAACTGGTTTGCTTGGCTTTATACTTTTGCGTGATGCTTTGGGCCTTCTTTACAGAGGGGACACTTTTTCCTGGGGCCTACTTTTGCATAATCTACGTCTCCCCATGGTAAATTATATGAAACATTAACGTCAACTGTCATACTACACAGAATGACTGTCAGGCGTTCTGAACTATCATACCCAAGAAGATCCCTGTTAGAATTGATCTTCAGTAACCCATGCCCATGGGCTAGCGTTTGAAACATCATCTCAATATCATCTTAAGACTTAAATGAAGATTTCTAAAATGTTTGGTTGCTGATTTACCTTTTAGCAATTAAAAGTTAGAGGTAAGCCCTTGACCTATTATAAATACATATCATGTTTAAAATATGACTATTCTTAATTCATATAATGCTGGTCAATATATCATTGCCGATTCATGTAAACAATTGCGACAGTTTTCATTATTTCCTGTTAAAGTTGAAATATACTCAAACCAGCATAATCTTTTACAATTCAAAATACCATTATACTCATAGAAACGAATATGGGAACACCTGAAAGTAAAGGTGTTCCCTTATTCTTCTTCCGGAATTTCACCCACAGTGCAATACAAAGATTGTGAAGAAGCCTGGAAAGAATAAAGGAACACCAGTACCTTCAGGTGTTCCCTTATTCGTTTCCATGAGCATAATGCTATTTTGAATTGTAAAGATTATGCTAGTTTAGTGGCTGCTTTTGCCCATCTAACTGTATACTGTACCTGCACTGTATATGTATGCTGTACCTCTGTTTGTACCATACAAAAATTATTAAAGTTTCTTAAAAGGAAGAACTAGTTGAACAAGCGTTGTCATGCTGGTCCCTGCCACCTTTACTGGCCTACTCTTCTATACAGCAAATTACAAAACGCGTGAAATGAAGATCAACAAGTTTTACGTATCTACTTTGTGCACACCACATCCTACCTAGACCCTAAAGAAAGTATATGTTATAAATAAAGGGGAACCGACGTAACTTCGTAAAAGTATTTACGTTATTTCAACAGGTATTAACATTTTTCGGCAGTTGAAAGTTTTGAGATGATCCCAGTATTCTGGTGATCCGGAACTGACTTAACCACGTGGTCCCACAAATTGCTTGTTTCTGTGTGAAATGGATTGTTAGCAAGTTAGCAAGTTGATTCTATTCTTATTTGAGACGGGACGTCCTGAATGAGTTACCTAATCCTGGCGGGCCAAAGACAGGTGACAGGTAGACACGCTGATAGGTACCCTCGTTACTGAGCGCGCAAGTAAACTCAGATCAAGTGAATACATCACCTTGAAGAACACAGGTACGGCTTTAAAATACCACAATGCGTGTAGAAATCCATTGAGGTTTACTGTTTCTAGCTGTTCCGTGATCCGGAATACCCTTACGTCTGAACTTTGATCGAAATGGTGATAGCATTCAACTGCCATGAGTGACGCATTGTGCTTGCTTTGTATGTAACCGTGGCATGTACGACAAAATTTATGAAAAACTAAACGCTATTGTGCAAGCTTTGTAGTTCCTGACCCTGAGAGTGGGAACGAATGCCGAATGGCATTCAACCCGTAAACTTGTACCCTTGTACTTTACTGTAAAATTTTAATTTCCAAATATATTCTATGTTAATTTGATAAGATCCTGAAATGCCATTTATATTCATAGCTTTCTGGCATAGGTATTGTTTATAATGGCCAGATGGGTACACAAGGTCCTGTTGTTTGATTTCATTTTGAAAGAATCTCGCTCACTGAGTATGTGAAATCGCTGAATTTGTGTACTGTGGATTTGTGGGTTCGAAACCCGGGTGGGACTCACCTCCAAATGTATTAGAATTTGTAAGATAGTTTGATATTTACTGAGAAAGTGTAATCCTAAATGGTCTTTTAGATTAGAAATTACTGTGACAAAAAGTCTCCTTTTAACCAGCAAAATAGACCACCAACCAAAGTCTGTACTATTGAAAAATATATTGAATAAACAATAAAGGTTACAATGAATGGAGGTACAGTTTTCTAATACAATACAATTGAGTCACAAAATCTAAAATGTTAACTCTAGAAAGGATTGATATATCTGGTAAAGAACGGATGTAATGGTTGAAGATTGTTGACGGCCGTTGAGAGATCAATGTAGCCGAGTGGTAGATCTCTTGAGTGGCGAAACGTCGATGTTAGCAGGCAGACGAGCATAAATCCAATGTAGCATTCCATCCGTACATCTCAACAACCAACCCGTATATACCTGTCATACTATTCTAGACCATTCCAGTAAAATCCACGCCAAGCTACAACCATTTAGAAATTACGGTAATCCGACTGTCTTCCGTCGGAAGCAGAACAAAAGGAAGCATAACAAAGAGGAGGGAAAATCTGAGCGCAACTCCTCAGCTTACTCTCTATACTACAGGTGAAATTACATAGCCTAAGTTCAAGATGCGCGATCAAACACACATAGTGCTTTAAACTCTTGTGACCCATTATAACTACAAGTAATTAATGTGACATTTTAATTAACAAAACACATCCTATTAACAATATAACATACATGTTCTGTGTTATATGTCCTATTAAAACTGTTGTTTACGTTGCTACATGTTATCCTGGAAATCGTTATGTACAAGATTTGTGAAAGACAAACGAGCACAGACGTGTTGTAATAACGACGTTAAAGTTAGAGATACATTCGACGGTAAACTCCCAAAACTTAGACAGCCACGCTTCGCAGTGACCCGGAATACCCGTACGCACTGAACTTTGATCGAAATAGTGATAGCAGTCAATGGTGCACTGAAATATGAGTGACGCGTTGTGCTTGCTGTGTAGGTAACCGTGGAATGTACGACAAAATGAATAAAAAACTAAATGCTAATATGCAAGCCTTTTACTGCCTCACCCTGAGAGTGTGGCGTCGAATGCCGAATGAGATTCAACCATCAAACAACTAAGATTTGTACTTTTCTGAGAAAGTATAATTTCCAACAATATATAGTGTATGTTAATTTGACAACATTCTAAAAATGCATTGTATATTCATAGCTTTCGGGCACAAGTCAAAACATTGATTACAATAACTGTCTCGTTTCCTGCTGACTGGGTTCCGTCCTATTGCGCAACTTAGTGCAATAACCAGTCCAGAAGTTTTAGACCAATTCATTCAACTAGATACATAAATATTAATCAATATTATTTGATACATCTAAGCACTTGTATATTGCAACACTAAGCTCCTTCTGATCTTTTCAAACACGTCGTGCAGCGTGCTCTGTCGTACAGCAGGCTCTGACAAACGGAAATCGTGGAAATCTCAAAACAAGGCTCTGCCGCTAGAAAGGTTTGGCGGTCTGGTACTGACTTGATATCATATCAATCCCATTGTGCGTTACAAAACTACACTGAATAAGCGCAAAGAAACACATATCAGGTATAACCAGTGAGCCCGATGACTTGTGAATCATTTTTACGACCTCATCAAACAGGGGGCAGTCTGTGACGTCTTAGTTAAGGTCATGCTGCCTACAGCTCGAAATAAAATATAGAAATACGATGTTATTAAAGTTTAAAATTAAAATTAATTTGTAAATACCATTTTCCTATGAAACAATGAATTGAAATGCACTGTAACCATAGTTGTTTGTGATGTCTCTTTTCACTTTCACACGAGAAAATTCGGATCGGCTGAAAAGTAAGTCATTGTCTGAATAGGTAAATGAGACTTATGTTTCGGTTTGCGGTATCGTTTTTCATGGTCAGGGTACACAAAGCTCCCTGTTGTTTGATTTAATTTTGAAAAAATGTGGGTGAGATTGCTGAATTTGTATACTGTGGATTGTTCCCTCTCTCTGAGAATGTGGGTTCGAAACCCGAATTGGACTTACCTCAAATGTATTAGGAGTTGTAAGATAGTTTGATATGTATTGAGAATGTGTAGTCCAAATATAACACATATGTTCTATTAATATGTTCTGTGTTCAATGTTTTATTAAAACTGTTGTTACGTTGCTTCGTGTCGACTTCCAAACCGAAACAATAAGTTATCCTGGAAGTCGTTATGTACAAGATTTGTGGAAGACATACAGCAAAGACGTGTTGCAATAACGACCTTTAAAGGTTAACGATACATTCGACCACTGTCTCAATATTTCCAGAAAGAAAGAAATACAACACAAAATGTATGAACCTGGCCATGCACGATCAAACTTGTTTTCTGTTGCAGCGACACGTGGAACAGGAAGAGACAAAGTGGGCGACATTCCTCCATCTCCAGGTCCCCAAGGTCCAAGCCCGCTAGATGGACGAGTGTGTATGTGAATATTTCCCCATCATGAGTGTCGTGACTTGTTTTCAGAGAAGGGAGAATTTGTATTCATATTATTTGTGTTTTTCAGCGCCAGTTAACAAACCTGCTTTCAAATGACGAAACGGAGTCAGCAGTCTTCATTTCAGTTTCTCGGTGTTAATGTACGTCGCAGTGACCCGGAATACCTATGATCCGGAATACCCTTACGTACTGAACTTTGATCGAAATAGTGATAGCAGTCAATGGTGCACTGGAAATATGAGTGACGTATTGTGCTTGCTTTGTAGGTAACCGTGGTGTGTACGACAAAATGAATGAAAAACTAAATGCTAATGTGCAGGTCTTTTAGTGCCTCATCCTGAGAGTGTGGGATCGAATGCCGTGTGGAATTCAACCTTCAAGCTACTAAAATTTGTACTTTACTGAGAAAGTATAGTTCTAAAATGCATTGTGTATTCATCGCTTTAGGGCATTGGTATCGTTTTTTCATAGTCAGATGGGTACACAAAGCACGTTGTCTGGGCTACCTGTTGTTACACTTTATTTTTGGAACAAATATCGGTCACTGTGTGTGTGAGATGGCTGAATTTGTGTACTGTGGATTTGTTCCCTCTCTGTGAGAATGTGGGTTCCAAAACCCGGATGGGACTCACCTCCAAATTTGTTAGAATTTGTAAGATAGTTTGATATTTATTGAAAAAGTGTAACCCTAAATATAACATGTATGTTCTGTGTTCTATGTTCTATTACAACTGATGTTACGTTGCTACGTGTTATCCTGGAAGTCGTTATGTACAAGATTTGTGGAAGACATACAGCAAAGACGTGTTGCAATAACGACCTTTAAAGGTTAAAGATACATTCGACCACTGTCTCAATATTTTCAGAAAGAAAGGAATACAGCACAAAATGTATGAACCTGGCCATGCACGATCAAACTTGTTTTCTGTTGCAGTGGAATGTGGAACAGGAAGAGACAAAGTGGTCGACTTTCCTCCATCTTCAGGTCCGCAAGATCCAAGCCCGCCAGGAGGAGTAGTGTGTATGTGAATATTTCCCCATCATGAGTGTCGTGACTTGTTTCAGAGAAGGAGAATTGTATTCATATTTTTTATGTTTTTCAGCGCCAGTTAACAAACCTGCTTTCAAATGACGGAACTGAGTCAACCATTCTCCGAATACGTCTTCATTTGAGTTTTTCGGTGTTAATGTACGTCGCAGTGACCCGGAATACCTATGATCCGGAATAACCCTTACGTACTGAACTTTGATCGAAGTAGTGATAGCAGTCAATGGTGCACTGAAATATGAGTGACGTATTGTGCTTTGCTTTGTAGGTAACCGTGGTGTGTACGACAAAATGAATGAAAAACTAAATGCTAATGTGCAGGCCTTTTAGTGCCTCACCCTGAGAGTGCGGGATTGAATGCACATTGTATATGAACCTGTCCATGCACGATCACAATGTTTTTTCTGTTGCAGCTTCATGTGGATATGGAAGGGGCAAAATTGAAGCTTATTCCACATTCAAAACGTATGTAAATATATCCCCATCATTAAGAATATAATCTTAACGAAACATATCTCCTTTATTTTAGATATACTCTCCCAAATAAGAAACGCATTTAGGAATTTCAACGAGTATTTTTATGTTTATTTTGGAAACATCTTGTAGGCTTTATGGAGTCAATGAAATATAGCGAAATTGCACACTGGGACTGCAGACTTATCCGTCTTTGGCACAAACTCGAGGAAAGTCAGTTTGAGTGTCACATGGAGACGTGTGGTGGCGCTGAAGTCAAAACCTCGTGTGACCACCGTGGGCATCCAGACCTACACGGCATCGCCTCGGCATCGAACGAATAAGTCTCAGAATCTCGTGTTGCCCAATCGCAGCCCACTCTGCCTGTAGTGCCTGTGCGAGTTGCTGAAGTGTCTGGGGCTGAGGGTTACGGCGTCGCACCCGTCTGTCCAGGGCATCCTACAGATGTTTGATCGGGTTTAAGTCCGGTGATCTTGAGGGCCAGGGGAGCACATTGATGTTGTGGTTCTGGAGGAAGTCTCTAGTGTGACGTGCTGTGTGGGGCCTGGCATTGTCCTGTTGAAACAACTCCCTATGGAAGGAGGTGTGGGCGTAGGATTTCCTCACAGTACCCCCGTTGAGCTGCCGGTTTGCCCTGGATCATCACCAAATCACCTTCCGTAGGAGAAGTGAAACGTTCACGTCGACGTCTGTACACCCGCATTCTTCCATCGCGTCGTTCCAATAGAAATCGTGATTCATCACTGAACCAGATTCTACGCCAATTCGGTAGGTTCCAGGCCTGAACGTTGGTGCACCATTGAACTCGATGTCGACGATGTTGTTGTCGAAGCACAGGGCCAAAATAAGGTCTTCTGGCACGTAAACCAGCCTCTCTCAACCTGTTCCTGACGGTCTGTGCAGAAAGCCTCCTCAATCCGGGTATTTGTCGAGCGGTACTGGTCACCGTAGCTGTTCGATTACGCAGGTGATGTACCCGGATGTAGCGATCCTGCGCCGCAGTGGTCGCTCGAGGTCGCCCACTACGAGGGGCATCTGCTACCGCATTCTGCCGGCGATATCTCTCCCAGAGCCGTGAAATGGTGCTTTGGTGAACATTCATGCGTCGGGCAACTGCACGTTGAGACTGGCCAGCTTCAAGCAAACCAATGGTGATATGACGGTTGGCTTCACTTAGACGTGGCATTTTGCGTTCGTCAACAATATTCCAAATACAGTGAATAATCGACAGACAGCGATCAACCTTTTATACCCATCATTGAGACCATCTGATCCCCAACTTTCACGTGCATTGCATGTGAATTGTGTATTCTGTGACACTACACGCCGAAATTGAAAAACATGCTGTTAAATACGGGTATTTTACGGATGGTGTGTTTTGTTGTGATGTTTCAAAAACATAAACACCATAGGACTCATAAACAGAGCAAAACCTTTTGTAAAATGAATCACGTTTTAATTCATTGCTACATAAAATTGCTATTTTCATGATGCGTTTCTTTTTGGGAGAGTATATTTACCCAAACATTGGATCAAAGTCATCAAAGATACAAATCAAAAGATAGAATGAATAACACTCAATGTAATACTCTCACACAAATAATACTCAACTCAGCTGACTGTAAATTCATTTATAGACTCAGCTATGTGAACGTCAAGGAATCTCTCTCTATAATCTCCAGCTGAAACGGGAAACCAAACTTAACATTACTCTAGCAGATGATTATCTTCATGACTGCTTTGCATTGATAAATAAAACTACCATAGAAGATAAAGTCAGGAATTTTCAGTATAAACTGATTCACCGAATAGTTACAACTAAGTCATTTCTGTTTAAGATAGGTATCAGTGATGATAATGTCTGTACCTCTGCAATAATGAAGCAGACACTTTAGAACATTTATTGTATTTCTGTGAAAACAAATACCAAACACATTCTTTCTACATTTGTTGAGAATTGGTATCAATACAAGACCAGTCGTAATCTAAATACAAATGTTGAACATTTCCTGCTGGGAGACCCGGAGGCACCTGATTAACCATCTTTTTATCACTATCAAGAAATACATTATCAAAACAAGATACAACTTTACTGAAATAACCAAATGATATATTTCATAAAATATCATTTCAAACTAGAAAAAATATTTTCGGCGAATAAGATGAAACATTTCGTATAAAATGGACTTCTCTGTTCCCTTGTGCGTAAAACCCTTCTGCACCCTGTGTCTGTACAGCTATCTTTTCCTTTCTACTCTCTTCTTGTCTGTCAGCACGTTTAATTTCACGGAAATCAAACTTTTATTTGTATCTCTTTGATTCAATAAAATTTAAAAAAATAATAATAATCAATTCCTCATCATTTGTGTGTTGGCTTGTTTCTGAGATGGGAGAATTATATTAATATATATTTATATATTTCAGCGACAAGTAACAAACCTTTCAAATGACGAAGCTGAGTCAGCAGTTTTCCGAAGACTTCTTCATCTCAACAAAATAAATGTCAGAACTTAACCTCATATGAGTCTTACTATTAGCAGATATTAAGTTAAGGTGGTCTTCGGATAATGTGAAAGTCCTTGAATCAGCTTGTCACCGTGTATTTTGCTGAAAGCATTAATAATAATAATAATAATATATATATATATTTTACTTTCGTTGTATCAGAACACAGATGCACAAATTGGAGAATTAAAACAGTAGCGTTACCAGTGACTGAATCAGTTTATTATTATTGAGCAGGCTTCGATTTTACAGTAAGTGACTGAGTGAGTGAGTTTACTTTTACGCCGCTTATAGCAATATCCCAACAATATCACACCGAGGGACACCAGAAATGGGCTTCACACATTGTACCCATGTGCAGAATCGAACCCGGCTCTTTGGCATGACGAGCGAACGCTTTAACCACTTGGCTACCTAACACACTCACACCAAAATAAAACAACAAAAACAAAACAAATATTTATTAAGCGCATTTTATCAATGTAATTGCTCAGGTTCTGAGTTCAGATGCGTCATCGGCTACACGAAATGATATGGCGCAGGCATGTGATCATTAGGTGTGGAGCTGGTCCTGGCAGTCTGGCTCGGTTGTCCTCGACAGCTTCAGTTCTTCCATTTCCTCCATCTGAAGCACCACCCTCTGCCACGACATCATCATACAAGAACTTGTATCCAGACTTGCTACAGCACAGCCAGACCATCATACGGGATTAATGCTACGCCAGCACAGCCAGACCATCGTACGGGTATAATGCTACGCCAGCACAGCCAGACCATCGTACGGGTATAATGCTACGCCAGCATGTTTCGCCAGACCATCGTACGGGTATAATGCTACGCCAGCACAGCCAGACCATCGTTCGGGTATAATGCTACATCAGCACAGCCACACCATCGTACGGGATTAATGCTACGCAACCACAGCCAGACCATCGTACGGGTATAATGCTACACCAGCACAGGCAGACGGTGGTTCGGGTATAATGCTACACCCGCAAAGCCAGGCCATCGTACGGGTATAATGCTACACCAGCACAGCCAGACCATCGTACGGGTATAATGCTACGCCAGCACAGCCAGACCGTGGTTCGGGTATAATGCTACCTCAGCACAGCCAGACGGTGGTTCGGGTATAATGCTACACCAGCACAGCCACACCATCGTACGGGTATAATGCTACGCCAGCTCCAGTCAGACCATCGTACGGGTATAATGCTACGCCAGCACAGCCAGACCGTCGTACGGGTATAATGCTACATTAGCACAGTCAGACCGTCGTTCAGGTGTAATCCTACATCCGCACAACCAGACCTTTGGTTCGGGTATAATGCTACACCAGCACACCCAGACCATCGTACGGGTATAATGCTACATTAGCACAGCCACACCGTGGTTCGGGTATAATGCTACACCAGCACAGCTAGACCGTGGTTCAGGTGTAATCCTACATCTGCACAGCCAGGCCGTGGTTCGGGTATAATGCTGCACCAGCACAGCCAGACCGTGGTTCGTATAATGCTACACCAACACAGTCAGATCATGGTTCGGGCATAATGCTACACCAGCACCGCCAGACCATGGCTCGGGTATAATGCTACACCAACACAGTCAGATCATGGTTCGGGCATAATGCTACACCAGCACAGTCAGATCATGGTTCGGGTATACTGCTACACCAGCACAGCCAGACCTTTGTTCGTGTATAATGCTACACCAGCACAGCATGACGGTGGTTGGGTATAATGCTACACCAACACAGCCAGACCGTGGTTCGCATGATGCTATACCAGCACAGCCAGACCGTGGGTCGGGTATAATGTTACACCAGCACAGCAAGACGGTGGTTCTGGAATAATCCTACATCCGCACAACCAAACCTTGGTTCGGGTATAATGCTACACCAGCACAGCCAGACCATCGTACGGGTATAATGCTACATTAGCACAGCCAGACCGTAGTTCGGGTATAATGCTACACCAACACAGCCAGACGGTGGTTCGGGTATAATGCTACACCAGCACAGCCAGACGGTGGTTCGCGTATATTGCTACACCAACACAGCCAGACGGTGGTTCGCATAATACTACACCAGCAGCCACACCGTGGTTTGGGTATAATGCCACACCAGCACAGCCAGACTGGGGTTCGGGTATAATGCTACAGCAACACAGCCAGACGGTGGTTCGGGTATCATGCTACACCAACACAGCCAGACTGGGGTTCGGGTATAATGCTTCATTAGCACAGTCAGACCGTCGTTCAGGTGTAATCCTACATCCGCAACAACCAGACCTTTGGTTCGGGTATAATGCTACACCAGCACACCCAGACCATCGTACGGGTATAATGCTACATTAGCACAGCCACACCGTGGTTCGGGTATAATGCTACACCAGCACAGCCAGACCGTGGTTCAGGTGTAATCCCTACATCTGCACAGCCAGGCCGTGGTTCGGGTATAATGCTGCACCAGCACAACACAGCCAGACCGTGGTTCGGGCATAATGCTACACCAACACAGTCAGATCATGGTTCGGGTATAATGCTACACCAGCACCGCCAGACCATGGTTCGGGTATAATGCTACACCCAACACAGTCAGATCATGGTTCGGGTATAATGCCACACCAGCACCGCCAGACCATGGTTCGGGTATACTGCTACACCAGCACAGCCAGACCTCTGTTCGTGTATAATGCTACACCAGCACAGCATGACGGTGGCTCGGGCATAATGCTACACCAACACAGCCAGACCGTGGTTCGCATGATGCTATACCAGCACAGCCAGGCCGTGGGTCGGGTATAATGTTACACCAGCACAGCAAGACGGTGGTTCTGGCATAATCCTACATCCGCACAACCAAACCTTGGTTCGGGTATAATGCTACACCAGCACACCCTGACCATCGTACGGGTAAAATGCTACATTAGCACAGCCAGACCGTAGTTCGGGTATAATGCCAACACCAACACAGCCAGACGGTGGTTCGGGTATCATGCTACCACCACACAGCCAGACGGTGGTTCGGATATAATACTACACCAGCAGCCACACCGTGGTTTGGGTATAATGCTACACCAGCACAGCCAGACTGGGGTTCGGGTATAATGCTACACCAACACAGCCAGACTGTGGTTCGGGTATAATGCTACACCAGCACAGCCAGACGGTGGTTCGGGTATAATGCTACACCAACACAGCCAGACTGTGGTTCGGGTATAATGCTGCACCATTCGCGACCAACTCGTGTTATTCCGGGACAAGCCGAATAGCGACTCGTGCCCTCTGGAAGGATTTCATATTGGCGCATGAAGAACAGAACTACTTTAAACAGGAACGATAACTCTATTCTTGTTTCATTTCAATGGTACTTAGTATCATACATTGTGTTGCTGTTTATGGTTTTGATGAATTAAACCGTTTTGATACAACTAAAAGGAGAAAAACGTATTTGTTACAGACTTATTCTGACGTTTTATTACCAGATGTTCACCTTATATTTCCAATTATATTTCTAAATAGGGTTCGATAATCACAAATGGGTTTTGTTTTATTAAATATGTAAATAAACATTTATTAAAGCTAAATTAAATCCCAAAGCAGAAACTCAAAAATGACTTTAAAATATGTCTCAAACTGAACATTCGTGTAACCTTGCTGTCATACCCCCAAGTGGAATTTTGAATGAATTCTGTGAAAAATATATGAATGACCACAAAAAAGAGTCAGACTAAAATATTCCTTAAAGATGTGAAATATATGCCCAATGTAAAAGATTAAAGTTGATCAGTTACATGCATATATGTCTAATATTATTGTTTTGAAACTCGTAGCGATTTATAATGACATTTCCTAAAATTGTTGTAAGCGCACTTACAATCTCCATAGCAAGCCCCGCAAGATCGTCAGAAATACCCTCAGTTGGAAACATGAGAGCAGTTATGTTAACAAACGCACGTGCGTGTATTTGAATCTCTCACCGTCAATCGCATTATTCTTATCGAAAATCTCATACCAGGCAGCAAAATCCTGTTAGTGAAGTTCTTTGTACTTTCAATATGACGATATATATATTTTCATGATTTTTAAACGATGACATAATGCCATAAACGATTTTAAGTAACTCGGGATTATTTTTACCAAAGCACCGCAGTCATTTACGCGCGTTCTGATTGGTTTGTCGTATTTTCGCACATAACAAGCATCGAGAGGGGGACGAGTCTTCTTGAGGTTACGGAAAGAGGCGAAAGTGGTGACGAATGATGCTGCACCAACACAGCCACACCGTGGTTCGGGTATAATGCTACACCAACACAGCCAGACGGTGGTTCGGGTATAATGCTACACCAACACAGCCAGACCGTGGTTCGGATATAATGCTACACCAGCACAGCCAGACCGTGGCTCGGGTATAATGTTACACCAGCACAGCCACACCGTGGTTCGGGTATAATGCTACACCAACACAGCCAGACGATGGTTCGGGTATAATGCTACACCAACACAGCCAGACGGTGGTTCGGGTATAATGCTACACCAGCACAGCCAGATGGTGGTTCAGATATGATGCTACACCAGCACAGCCAGACCGTGGTTCGGGTATAATGCTACACCAGCAACAGCCAGGTCGTGGTTCAGATATAATGCTACACCAGCTCAGCCAGACCGTGGTTCGGGTATAATGTTACACTAGCACAGCCAGGCCGTGGTTCGGGCATAATGCTACACCAGCACAGCCACACCGTGGTTCGGGTATAATGCTACACCAACACAGCTACATCGTGGTTCGCATAATAGCAGTCGCCAAGGAAAGATAGGGTAATAAAATGGCTTGCCATAAAGGATGAAGACATATTTTCCAGTTAAGGGGGCATAACTCCGAATTTTATTCGACTTTAGGAGGATGGACATATATGTCCCTCTGGCATCCGGTGAGTTCATAGGTGTATGCTACAAAATGCTGGATAGATCTACGGCTCTTTGACGCACGACAAAATTTTGAACAAAAGGTCTATTTTTAACTGTCGTAGAATTTAGTCTTGAATTTACACAATGCATGTACACAAGCGTAACCTTGATTCGTGGACATAAAGGGAAGCGCGGTGAAAATCATACGTTAGATGCACGATTTCTTTTTGTATACTCACTGATTATTTTTTAATTGATTAAACAAATTAAAAAATGCCTAATATTCCACTCGTGAATGA